CTGATGGGTGATATAAATATTGATATTCTAAATGATGATTTTATTACTCATGAATATATTAATTTGTTATCCTAATTTGGATTTACAAACCAACTAGAGTAAATTACTCATGAACTTGCATTGATCATGTCTTCGTAAAAACAAATAAATTTTCAATCAAATCCGGAATATTCATAAATGACATAAGCGATCACTATCCAATCTTTTGCAGTATTTATAACGATGAGGTAAATAAAATTAAGGAAACTGAAAATAAAATTTTAATCAACTATAATAAGCTCTATAATTATTTGTCAAATTACAAATTTAATTACAAACCTCAAGATTCCCTTGATCAACAATATCAAAGTTTTGTTTTCAAACACAATAATTTAAAAAATAATTTCAAATATATGCATAAATCAAACAAAAGAGCCAAAAATAATTGGATGACTAGTAATATCTTGATTTTAATTCGAAAAAAGGAAAAATTATTTAAAAAAACTAGAAAATATCCATGGGATATTATTTACAAAACAGCATACAACACTATAGTTTCTGAGCTTAAGATCTTAATTAAAACAGCAAAATCAGAATATTTCAAAAACAAATTTTTAAATTATGATTCAAATAAACAAAAATGGGATCTTGTAAATAGTTTTATTGGTAATCAGAGCAAATCATCTACTTTACCTGATATTTTAAACGACTATGAATCTTCTGATCAATTCAATAAATCATTTGCAAACTCTAACAGTACCTCAAACCTAAATTCAAACAGTTTTCAAATCTATATTTCACCAAGTTTAACCTCGTTTGTTTTCCTAGAATTGAATGATTGTGATGTACTTCACTTGATAAATTCTCTTTCTAATAAAAACTCCTTTACTATGACGGTATTAATGTAAAATTAATTAAACTATTTGCTCTCAACAATATAAATTTCATAACTAATTTCATCAATACCTCAATCAAGTAATACATTTTGCCAACTTCTTTAAAAAGAGCAACCATAACTCCTGTTTTTAAAACCGGCGATAAAAATTGCTTATCAAACTATAGACCAATTTCAATATTACCTGTTTTCTCCAAAATCATTGAAAAAGCTCCAGCTGATAAAATGAACAATTATTTAAAACATAAAAATTTTTTCTCTGAAAATCAACATGGATTTATTAAGGGCAAAAGTACAGAAAAGGCTCATCTGGAATTTTCAAAATTTATTCATAATAGTATTGCTGAAAATAAGATAGCAGTAGCTATATTTCTAGATATATCAAAAGCTTTCGATAATATCAATCATAATTTTTTAATCAAAAAATTAGAATTTGCTGGATTCAGAGGAATTACTTTAAATTGGTTTATTTCATATCTTTCAAACAGAGAACATAGAGTTAAAATCCGAAGTAATTTTAGTAATTATATTTTTTCAAACGGTGGTGTTCCTCAAGGATCTATACTAGGACCCTTATTGTTTATTATATTCATCAATGACTTTTGTCAACTCAAACTTTTTTGGTAAGATAATAACATATGCTGATGATTCCGTAATTTTGTATTCTTGTGCTGATTTAAAACAACTAATTTTTAAAATTGAATCTGATTTACACATAATTTCAAAATGGTTTACAGTAAATGACCTAAATTTAAATCTAAATAAAACTAAATACATTTATATCAGTTTAAGAAAATCAGAAATTTACTTAAATTTAAAATTTCACTCTCCCTCCTGTAAAAGTACTAATGAAAATTGTCAATGCTACATTCTATAATCTGTAAATAATATCAAACATTTAGGACTATATATCTATTCTAATTTGAAATGGAAAACACATATTAACAATTTAGTTAAAAAATTGCGTTTTGTTTTAGTTAAATTTTATCACCTTAAGAATGAAATTCATTTTAATTTTATGAAAGCACTCTATTACTCCTGGTTTTATTCTTTAATTAATTATGGTGCAATAATATATGGCGGTGAATATAAAACTGATTTACTTCCTTTAATCTCAGTTCAGAATAAATGCTTCAAGATTATTAATTCTCTAATTATTATAACTATTACTAATATATATATATATACAAGAATTAACCTCTTACCATTTCGCCATAATGTATTTTTTCGTATTTCACTTTATTTACACAACAATAAATTAATATGCAAATTAAAAACTAATGTGTCTGAAAGGAGACCAACTGAAATATATGAGATTCCCCACTTTACAAAAGACGAACGGACTAATTATTTCCTTCTTCACATTTTGTAAATAATCATCGCAATAAAAATACTGGTAATTGCCGTAGAAAAGATCAAAGACGAAATCACACAAATCAGACTCCTCAAATGCATGTTTCGTTTCCATATAAGGTTGTATTAAATAATATTGTATAAAAAGTATCAGGTTTAAAAACTATGGGGAAATCAATAGCAATAACTGCTAAAAATTAGATAGAATGAGTGCCTTGAAAAGTAAATACTCAAATGCATGATTCTAATATTTTTATTGTTTGAAATATATCGGGATATTTTAAAACCATGTGAAAGTCTATATCAATAACTGTCAAAAATTCAATCAAAACATTGCATCGATTTATGATACTATCGGCCTAAATTGGATGCGCACAAAATTTCCTATCTAAATGCATGATTCAAATATTATGTGTAAGTTTCTGCAGAAAATAAAAGTAAATTTTTTTGTTCTTCAAAAGAAAAATCTTTCTGCAAGAACTCTGTAACATTCTGCGACAATGTCGCTGCAATTCTGCCACTGGGGGATCAGTTATTGTTATAGATTTATATTTAGTTCTTAAAAATCATTATTGGAAAGAAGTAACTTGTTTTTTCCCAAAGTATGTAGGCCCTCGATGCATCAATATGTATCTCTACAACAATATATTAATTTGGTCCCCAAAATATTGTTGTTACGAGGTTTTACTGTATTAAATAAATAAATAAACTTTGAATTTTTACATTTGTTTGGTTCTTGTGAGGATGACCTGAGAAAGATAAAGACTGCTTCAAATAATAAATTTTTCAATGAGTAGTTTTTTTTCCATTTATATTTGTTTTACTTATTGACTTCAACAATTTATTACTAAAGGTAGCTTCTTTAAAGAAAAAATCATGATTTAAAAGTTTTTTAAATATAATAATTTGCAATCACAAACCAAAAGAATTATTCTTATTTATTTCACTAAAGATCAGATTAGAAATATATTGGGGAGTTTATATATATGTTTATTTTTTAAAGTTTCAACTTAATTTCGTAATCCTTTGGAGTTTAATTTCTACAATTTTTTTTCTAGATAACTACTAAATATTCTATTTCTATTTAGTTTTTGTCCAAATCAAATCTAATTTGGCTAAATTAATTTGATATTCAGTTAAAAGTAAGCGTGTGTGTCTGCATCTTTTTGTGATTTGGTGAAATTCAGAATTTCATTTGGCAAATTTAAATTCCTCTAGGGTCTAAAGTGTATGTTCCTGGTACCCTTACTTAATGACACCCACCTGTTCCAAATTTCAATAGTGTAGACTAAAATCAGAATTATTACTTTATAAATGGGCTTGCTGCTCACATCCATAGACTCGAGATCTTTCCCGATCCAAACAGTGTCGTGCACGGGGAGGACTCCCCAACCGAATGCTTTGGTGAGATTCTTGCCCTCTCATATGCAACTCTTCTCCCTTTTGTGAGATATTCTCAATTAAAGGTTTCATTTTCCACCCTGGGAAATCGAACCTTAAAATCTCTCGATCTATGATGGCTATTATAATCAAAAAAAGAGTTCTTTGTCAGAAACTAGTTATTTTGTCATGATCATGCAAAGTCTTTGAAAATTATTTTGCATTTCGTTAATACATATGTTGCTTAAAATATTTTTAGTGCTTAAAAAGTCCTTAAAAGGTGCTTATTTTTTGTTGAAAGATTTGGCTACTCACCCTGAAAAAAATTATGCCAAATACGAAACTTGTATGGTATATAAATTTGTATAGATTTTTTGTACTCAAAAATTTCAGGGTTTTTCACTTAGTGTCACAATTACCCCTGTTTAGTACATTAATTACCAAAAATTTTGGGGAATACTTAATATTGAATAATGGATTTTATACTTGTGTAGTTTGAAGTTTATCTACTTATGAAAAAATTAAAATGAAAAATAATTTCAGAGGAATTTAAAGAATTTTTAAATTACTAAGCTTTTATTTTCAGCAGAGGATAGGGATTTGAAAAGGCTTTGCCTTTCATTTTTGCTTGTGCAAAAATTCTATGCTGTTTTTTATAATTATCAAAACTATTTCATCATTTGAACTTTAGATTTTATATAATGCTAACAATGTCTGGATGAATATTTTTGGATTATTTTTTATCAAGACATGAAATGACACTAAAAATTTACTCATTGGCTTGATTTTTTTTTATTAATTCATATTCATGCTTAGTCAATAATTTTTTTTTCAGAAATGAGTGCTTTATGTTTTAATGAAAATTGTTTTGAAAATTATTTCACTGGTATTTATTTGCACAAGGAAAGCAAGTTTGGAAAAAATGGAAAAAAAAATTTTTTTTGCTGATCCAGGTGGGTGTTTTTATTATTTATAAAAATGTCTTAAGATGCTCACTGATCCATGACTAATCAGTTGTAAAAAAATATTAAAACATAAAAGATTGGAAATTTTCAAATTCTTGTGCCACTTTTTCTATTATATTATAGCAGTAACACATAAATTGTGAGAGACTGTTTTTCAAATAAATTTTTTTTTATGAGAATAACTATGATTTTTAACAACTTTAATTTTCATTGTTATGTGTTAACTTATTTAGTAGGCAATTAGATATAAACAAAACATTTTTAAGAAACATTGCACTTACAAAATGGAACCTCACCATTTGGAAATACACTGTAGACTAATCACTTACTGGCTAATTTTGACAATTAGATAGAAATGTTGTCTATCACCAATACAGTCATATATCATTAAGAAAATTACATTAAATTCATTTTTTAAGCTGTTCTGGTTTGAAAATAATTGCTAGTTTAAACTGTTTCAGATTTGAAAGAACTTGCTATTGTCTAATTATTTGCTTTCTAATTTATGAATAATTTAGGAGATTAGTATTTAGTTGTAATATTTCTCAAATGTGAGTTTTGAAAAACAAAAGGAAAACTAAAGCAAAATATATCTATTAGCTTTTATTATTAATATATTGACTTGCATTTTTTGTGTACGTTATGCTCAAACTTTTATTTGTCCCCCCCCCTCCCTCTAGGTAATAGAGGAATATCAAATTCTTGCTATATAGTATATTATTTATAGTCTGTTATAGTCCTGTGTTATATTAGCATCAGTATCAATTCAATAAAAATATCGATGTTTTCTAAAAAAATTATCATGCAAAATATTTAGACCATATATCTTGTTTAGCTATAATCTTTTTTCAATTTATTAAACTTATTCATGCGCCTTTCTTTAATATTATTTTTTCTATTACAAGTTATCCACAGTATAATTTTGCAATGTGCAGTTACAGAGAAAAGAAGTCGGAACCTACGGAAATGATGCAGAATATACTGTAGATTTTGTTGAACTAGTGCTTGGTAATACGTTTTCCATGTTTTACTTTATTTACTTAGTTTTCTAGTTTGTATTTAATTTATATGCGTTAACTCCAATAACTAAACTTTTGTATCTTACAAATTATTCTAAATAATTTGTACAACCAATTTGATAGACCTTTGACTGAAACGAAAAAAAAGAATATAACATGATTATTACACTAAACAACTAATATGAAACAATTAACAAGTCAATTCAACAAATGGCAAGATTTTAAGCTTTAGCGATTAAAACTCAACATAATTCTTGTTGGATTTTTCTTATTCTGGTCTATTTTGAATAAAGAGTTTTCAGTGCAAAACAGTGCTGAACTGCACACTCAGTGGAATGGTGGTCATAGTGTAACTTAACAAATATGAACTCTGGTCGAAAACAAAGTTGTTTTCTACTAGAATGCTGGAATGGGGTTAATCAGACCGTATTTTTTTTTTTTAGAAACATTTTATTTGTAACAAATGTCCTATATGCGAACTATATTGAATTTTTTACTTACTTTCGATATGAAATATGCTCATTTTGTGATTAAAAAAATTGGCATTAGTTTTGTGTATTATGAAATCCGATTTAAACTAATAAGATTGGTATAAATTTTTTTTATAACCGTCGTTGATCAGCCGACCCAAGTTTTTGGGTTCACGACTGCTAATATTCAACTTCATAGCCCTGTAATTTTGAACCAATCCTGAAGATAAGGAAACTCCTAATTAAGTACCCCCAGAGGTATGATTTGTAATGGGAACATGGTGGACTTAGTAATTCGACACATTTAACTTCCGTCAGTCACCATTTACTACACCGGGAGTCTTCGTCTGACGGGGATCAAACCCATGACCTTTGGGACATGGGCCCATAGTCCTACCAACCAGGCTATCCCGGCCTTTGGTATAAATTGTGTCATTTTTTGGAGTGCAATTTGTTTTTGGGTTTGTTCAGTTTGAAATAAACTAATTTATTGTTCAGATTGTTTTTGTCTCATTGACTCTAGGATCTGAGATGAATCACCAGTTAATGTTTCATAATAAAATTAATCTTCGTTAATGTGATAGTGATTTTCAAAAATTACTTGTAGTTAATGGTGTTATAACTAGTTTTGCTTCCTTTTCATTTAAACAAAAGTGTCATCTGAAATATGTTACTGTTATCTGGAGATTGTTGCTGTAATATTTTTATTAAACTTATTGAAATTCAAAAGAAGAATGAAGCAAATTGAGCATTTAGGGCAACATCAGTTAGTGCAGATGGCATCTCTGAACAAGCATCTCTCTTTGTACTTATAGGATTTAATTTATTATTTCTCTTTTCCTGTTCTGATTAATGCTACTTCAAATTTCAGATCTTGAAGGTGGGAGGTTTTTCTTCAATGCGGTTAAAGAAGGTGATGGCGTACTTTATGCCAGTGACGACGAAAATGAGTGCCATCTATGGATCGTGGCTATGTACAGGGCTACAGGACAATGTCATAAACCAACTCCTCTTGTTCAACATCAAACCAGCAGAAACTCTACCATATCTAGGTTACAAGGAGGTATGTAGCAATATTTGGCTTCAAAAACTAGCTCAAATGATTAAAACTTTAAAAAAAAAGAAAAGAAATGAAGAGTAAATATTTTGGAGAAAGGACATAAGTACTTTCCAATTATTTTCAGATAGCTCTCATCCCACAAAAAAAAATTTAATTTTCGTATCTACTGATGAGATAGATACAAAACTGTTTTAGTAGAAAAATATATGTGAGTATAAATATACACTGAGTGGCCAAATTATTATGACCACCCCTTCAGTACGCTGTTGGGCCACCTTTTGCGTGTATTACTGCCTTAATTCGTCTGAGCATGGATTCGATGAGATGTTGGTAGGTGGTAGAAGGAATGCCAGACCATGCTCGCTGAACTGCACTTGCCAATTCCTGCAAATTTGATGGTACTGGATTCATCTGTCTGAGTGCCCGTTCAATTTCATCCTACAAAATCTCAATTGGATTGAGATCTGGGGATTGTGCTGGCCAACGAAGCAAGTTAATTCTCCTTCATGCTCTTCGAACCATCTGAGGACAATGCCAGCTTTATGACAAGGATCATTGTTCTGCTGGAAGTATCCATCCCCGCCAGAGTACACCATTGATATAAACGGATGTACTTGATCTGCGATGATACTTAAATACCCTTGGGAATTAAGGCGTTGTGGTACAGAAATTAAAGGACCCATACAATACCAACAGAACATTCCCCATACCATAACGTTGCTCCCACCAGCTTGAAGTGTCGTGGCAATGCAGTTGGGGTCCATGCTTTCGTGCTGTTTTCTCCATATTCTCATCCTGCCATCTGCGTGATGCATTTGAAATCGTGATTCATCGGACCACATGACCCTCTTCCAGACATCTACTGTCCAATGTTTGCTCTCATTTGCAAATTGGAGACGTCTGCGCTTATTTAAAGGAGACAGTAGAGGCTTACGAAAAGGTCGTCTGCTTCCATACCCTATACGGCGCAATGTGCGTCGAACAGTCCGTTCAGAGACGTTCACAGTTGCTCCTTGATTAAGATCACTTGCAAATTTTCGCACTGTTGCTGTCCTTTTGAGCTGCGCAACCCTGGCCAGCCTTCTCTCTGATCGAGCATTCTGTACCCTGTGACCACCACAAGTTTGACGTTGAGACCCGGTTTTTTGCTTGATTGTCCATTCTTTGTACACATTAACAACTGCTGCTCTAGAACACTTCACAAGTGCAGCCGTTTTGCTGATACTCGTTCCGACACACCTCGCACCCACAATCATTCCACGCTGAAATTCAGTTAAATCACTTTTCTTTCCCATATCTGAGCACGCAACACAGTATAACTGATGACTCACTTGACCAGCATTCCCGTGTTATAGATATCTTGCCCTCTAGCGTCAGCGCTGTGACGCAATAACTCATTTGCATAAAACTGTGAGGTGGTCATAATAATTTGGCCACTCAGTGTATGTGAATTTTTTATTTCATGTTCTGAGCTTCAAAAACAAATATGGTAAATAAAATATAACGATTTGATTGCACTTTTGTGTGAATAAAAATGTTGAAAGTTGTAAGTGTTCTACAATCAAATTCTCTCTTTTTTATTTTTATTAGAGAACAAAGTTAATGAAATCAGAGTTCCCACGATCCTTAAAAGTCCTTAAAAACTGCTTAATTTTTATTTTGGAAAGTAAGGGCCTTTAAAAGTCCTTAATTTTGATACAAAGTTTTTAAAAGTCCTTAATTTTTCAGTATCACTATAGCTGATAGGAACAATTTTTCAGATCAATTTTTTTAAAAAAAAATGCCGTTCTCTTATAATTTAGAATTAGACCATGCATAGAGGGTAAAGTATTTTAGAGAGACAAAAAGGAATGTGTGGGAGGGGGTTATGGCAAGGGGAAGAAAGCATTTCCTTTCATTATTGTATTGGTTCTTTTATTAATGTATTCTGCATTTTGCCTGGAATGATACTCTATGAGGAGAGTGAAGCATTCTAAAAAAAACGATTTGTGTGGATGTGGAGGATACTGCACATGGAGGAGATAGTGCTTTTTTGGAGGGAGGGCAGTTTTAAGGTTATGATAGAAGACCCACACTAACCTTCAAAATTGACAGAATTTAAGAAATTCAGTTCTGATGGTCTGCATCTGCTTATAGGAATTATGTTATACCCTATGAAAAGAAGTATCAGAAATTTTTTTAAAACTAGAATTCATAATGAAAACTATCTCCTAAAGTCTTGAGCAATTAAATAAATTTTTATAACATTTCAGTGTGTAATAAGTAACTGTAAATTTATAGAAATCAGTAACATTTTTTAAAATTCATTGTACATTCATTCATTCATTGTAAAATTCATTGTGTAAAATTCATTGCAATTCACAATTGTACTAAAAATTACACCGATCTGTAATAAACAGGGCTTGAAAAATTCCAGCCCGTAATCCCGAAAAATCCCGCTTGTAATGGGTTTTTATTCATGAGATTTTTTATATAATTTCAATTTGTATTTATTTTTGACGTATTGCATTACAATGTTAACCAATTGATACAGGACTGTAAACAAATGCAAACCAGTTTCAACCGAGTGAAAACAATACAGATGCATAGTATCACCCAATTATTATAATTTTACATAAAATCTTATAGTGCCATCTTTTACATAAAATAATATAGCCAGGGACTATGCATATTCTATTATTAAATTAGTTTGTTTGCCATGAAGTAGTGTGAATAAACCTCTTTTTTCTTTTATACTTTTGAAACATATGATTTATTTTTATAACTAGACAAAATTTGCTATTGTTCCTCGTGGACTTATTTAGCGCATGAAATTTTTTTTATCTTTAAAAAGTTACCGAGAGTAAAATTTTCAATTTCAAAATGTAGATTTTACTATTAAATGCTATGAAAATATATATCCTTCTATGTGTGATCTATTAAAATAAATTAAGTTATTCTTTGCATGTTTCTAGAATAGATTAAAAAAAGACTATAGAGAAAAAAACAAAAACATTTTTCTCTCTATTCTTAATTTTTCTTTTTTCTTTCCACATGTTCGCAATGTAAGTCTAAATTGCCAAGCACTGAAACATAACTACATAACTGGAAAGAATGGTAAAGACATCAACCTAAAATTGTTTTGTTTTTTCCAATTATTTTTTTTAAAGAAATTTTAAATTGATACTTTTACAGTTCATATTATAACCTAATAAGTGCTATAAGATTAATATCATGTATTTAAATGACAAAATACTTTGATAAAAAGACACCCATCTCTCTTCAAATTTATTCCTTAAAACTTTAAGAGAAATGGAATTACTTTGTAAAATCTATTGGATTATAAGAAAAAACCTTCTAATTTTTAACTATATTTATTGAAATATTTGATGTTATTCAAAATTTTCCTTTAAAGTTTCTTTCATATCATTGTTATGTATGACTTAGAGCTATTGTTTTGTGATTAATGTTATTGATGTAATAATATATTTATCAGTAGTTAATACCTGATACGGTGCACTGTTGATCATTTATTGTTAATCTTAATTATGCATAATTTAAATTTCTTAAAGTATTAATGTTAAAAGTTACAGCTGGAAAAAGTTTTCTTGTATAGTTAATGCTTACATTTATTAGAAATTATTATTTATTTTCTTAATATTATGATAATTTTTACATAATAAAATTAACTTAAATAATATTATATTTGTTTGATATTAAAGCATGGATCTGTTTAGAGTATTTAAAAAATGTAGACATTATATTGGTTTATTAAAATTGTAGCATGTAATAAGTTGTTGATTATACTGGTATGTTGTTTTTTTTTAATCACTTTTTGTAATACTTTTTTTTATAATAAAATTTAATGTTAATTTAATCTAAAGTGAATTTTTTTCTCTCAAATATAAAATTATCCTAAAGCTAATTAAAGTTATTTCATACATTATATTTAGCTAAAAACAAATAATGAACTAAAATATCCACAACTTTCATATTTTTTTTTCAGAATTTATGGCTTTTAAAGTTATTGAGATTTTTGTAAAATAAAATGTTTTAGTTGTATAAGTTAGTAGTAGAAAACAATCGCGGTGTATCTTACAGTAAGGCAAATTTTTTACAAAAAGTTTAACTTAGTTTCTTTGAAAAGAGGGTCAACTAATTAAACTTCTTTTTGCAACTGAGTTTTATTGTGCTTATTTATTAAATATTGAGAACAGATTTAGAAATAGGTGGTAAAAATAGAAAATCATCTCAGAAAAGATAAATAATGTACATTCATATAAGTATAATTTTCAATTTAATTTAAAATTTGCATTATCATTCAATATTTAACATAAAAATAAAGAACATTCTTTATTGTAAAAGTTAATTTTTCTACTCATGCATTACATTTGGATGGTTTGCTCAGTGTCTAATGTCAAAACATACCTAAATTATTTTAAAAAGCTTAAATTGTATGAAGCAGTGAGACATAAATGCATAAATTACATATGAAAAAGATCTAAATCTCTTTTTTTTATTCAAACTGTGTTCTTGTTTTAGTAATTTCTAATAATCAGGTTTTCTTTTATATATCATTTACTTTATATGAATGATGCTTGATAAAAATTTATAAGAAACAATATTTTTTTAAATTTAATTTTAATTGAAATGTAAGAAACAAGTTAAAACCATTTTTTAAATAAACTTCACAGCTTATTCTAAAGATTGTATCAATGCTAAGAACAAGTATATGTATATTATAAATAATTTAGCATACTAATTTCATTATAATATTACATGTGCTTTACAGAAATATTCTAAAAAAGTAAAAGTTATTTTCTACCTAAGGCCAGACGGCATTGGAACTGTGACTGCTGAAGAGAAAGATATTTTTGCCAATATTAAGGAACATTTAAGAATACTTCTCGAAAACCAAATTACTCATCTTGGATAATTATACTATTCTTTTCTTTATAATTTAGACTAAATTAGCTTATTATTTAAAATCCACTTGCTAATTTTTTTCTTGAGTTTTGGTTCTCCTCTTAGAGGTAGTCTCTTTTTTTGCTCCAGACTTAGTTAATAGCAAACTTGTTTGTTGTTTAAAGTATTGTTTAAATCTTTTTATTTCTTAATTTAGTGTGTGTAAGAGGGGTGATTATATTCAGGGGGTATCCCGGATTTTCGGTATTATCTTTAAGGATCTTAAAATTAGGAGCAGGGTATGTAATTTTTCTGGGAATATCACAGAATTCCGCCTTTCTCAATACAATTGGCTCTCTGACTTTCACTAATCAAAAACTTATAATCAGACGAAATTTTCACAGTCTTTTGGTTTAGAGGATTTTCGTCATTTTGAATATAACTGCCCTGGAATTTTAGAGGTCCAACATTGAGATTCTTGCAAGAACTAAGATTTTTCGTAAATTAGTTAGCATTAAGATGTGATATTCATCATTGATAGGTAATTATAAGTTTTATTTTTAAAGAAAATTATGTTAAATGTGGAACATGCTGGGTATATAAAATGCTATCTCAATAGCGATTTTTTGCACATAAAATTGTCATTGTTTTTCACATTGGATAGAAGATAACCTTGTTGATCTTCTAATAGAGTGCTTTGAGAAAAATATTAGTTTTCATATTTTGTCTTGTTATTTTCTGAAACTGATAAAAAAAAAAGAAAATTCTTAACATAGAAGAGCATCTTCCAATGGTTTTACAGACTTTGAATTACGATGTAAATATGGCTATGTACCATTTATTTGTCTTTTGAATCAAAATACATTTTGCTATATAACATATGTTTTTCTATCTTTTGGTCAATTAACTTTTTTTCTTCCTGTTTAGGTATTGCTTCCCTTTTGGTCGACCAGAAGGTGCGCTTTCCTTGTTGGAGAGGGTATGTTAAATTTTTTTTATTCTTATATAGTATTCTTATCTTAATTTGAAATATATATATTACTTATATATACATATTTCTCGGAAAATACTTATACTGAAAATGAAAGCAAAACCTACTTTTGTTGCTTTAAAAATAGATTTCACTTTTTTTTCTTATCGAAAAATAGAATGTTTTGCTTATAAAAATTGAACATCAAAACTTCAATGGCACTATTTGTAGATTTACTTCTTTTTCTTCACTGGCCCTGGGTGGGCCCTGGTCTTCTCCAAGCATCTCTTTTGATGATTGTTTTCCAGATTTTTGCCTTAAAAGTACTTATGCATCTCATCGGTAATCTGTCTTAAAATAGAGTACTTTTGGAGTTAGCCAGAAATTCTTTTTTAAAGCACCAATCTTTTTTCGTGCTGGTCTGGCAACCTGCTTATTTAAATCTCTAATATTTGGAAAATTTTACTGCATGTTGCTATAGATCTTGTTTTCTATCAGGCTGTCTATAGATCTTATAAAGTTATAGATTATATTTATATAGATATATATCTGTTTTAAAGTTATAGATATATAACTTTAGGTGGAGAAACTGTTGTAAGTTTCTCCATCACTATGTATTCGTTACGTAATTTCAGAACATGTAAAAAATGTCAGTTTGGCAAAAATGCCTTGCTTTCAAGTTATTATATTTCATAAAAATTTTATTTTTAAAAAAAACAAATCCTGCTTTAGTTCACTATGATTGGAAAAACATTTTGCAAAGGCTTCAACTTTTATAAGCTATGTATGATGTAATATTAAATTCAATACTTAAACCACTTTGAACAACAAAACAAAGAAAGTCACCTGATAAATAAATTTTATGTTCTGAAAAAGGTTTCCTTAACTGCTTTTCAAGCACATTTTTTTTAATAATCTTATGCCTTCCTTACTCTTACTTTTTATGATTCTAAGTTATATATAGGCAATTTAGTTACGTTGGGCTTAGTATATTTTTTTGAATATTTATATCAGCTACATAATTCATCAAAAAGTAAGCTAAATCTCTAAATGTAAGCGATATAATTGCTTGATTCTCTTTGATCATCCTTTGTTGCATTATGCATTAAATTTAGGACTGCTTAAATTTTTTTGTCCTTCTTACTCCTATCAATCCTAGTTGCGTTTAAAATCATTCAAAATTAACCTCTCCTTGGAAGATATTTCCATAATTGCTAAAAATAATTGTTTAAAATATGTATTTGAGATCGCACTTTAAATTTGTTGGAAAAGTATTTCCTGTTGCGAGAGAGGAAAAGTACTTACTTTCATTCAATTTGTTTTATCACTGAAGTATTATGCAGCATTAAAAAAGCTTAATTTCTGACTTTGTTTCCAGGGCAAAAAAAA